GCCATGGCGGAGGTGGCCGAGACCGAGATGCCTTCACCGCTGGGGCTTGTCCGGTTACCACACAGCAGGAGCGTCGGAGGCTCGGCGTCCGCAGGCGGAGGGAACGGGTTCCCCGGCGGCGGCCCCGGAGCCCCGTCACTCGGGCTCCTCTCTGTGTCTGCTGTTTCATTAGGGCGCCGTTCAGCCTCTTCCTCAGAATCACTGAGATCAAACGGGTTGACCGACGCCATTTTTGCACTATAGAGATGTTTAGCAGTCTAAACTAGCTAAGCTAATCAGACCATGGATCAAACTCACTTCTTCCTGAATGGATACAAGCTAGCTAAGGTCTGGTAGGTGGCTTTGACAAGAGGGAAAGAATGCAAAGCTCTGAATGGCCAGATCTGAGATCCGTTTTCCCAAAGCCCGCCTTTTTTATTGGATAAAACAAAATGATTGGATACCGGTGAGACAGAAAGAAAAACTGGGCAGGGCACATTTGACAGCTGATAGCTTATGCTTGCTAATGTGATATCAAATAACCACAAGCTGTGAAAATAACAGTGAAACTGCACTGTAAGAAAAACTGTTAGATAATACAACTCAATTTCTTTTTATTAAAACATCGATTTGAGAGAGGTACATTTTAAAAGAAAGCTCGCTGGGAAAATACATTTTTTTTAAACTACAGTACCCACAATTCAGCTGCAAAGTACACACGTCAAAAGTAAAACGTCACAACAAGGAAGTTGGTGCTTATGGTACCTGCATTTCTTGTGCTAATCTTCTTAGAAAGATTGTTAGTTGATTTTGTAAAAGGACACACTTTACGTTGATTGTGTTTCGTACAACAACGTACTAATGTGTCAGGTTCTCTGGATATATAATTGATCATCTCCGAGGATAAAATGGAAGCTAAAGCAGGTGTATGGTTGAAATGGTAGTAGATAGTTCTGTTCTCCCATTAATTCATCAACAAGACAGCGGCCCGCGTTGTTTTTTATGGGTAGATTCCACAGACGTTACATACGGTGAGGCTTTTTGCATGGCCTGTACCGATTTCAGTGCTAACCTGCTGGCGTAATGTTTAACTTAACATTGAAATGTACCCTACATTTGATCATATTGGCTAATGTGGCATATGGTGACAGTAGGCTTAATCCTTACTTAAGCAGTGTTTACATGGCACATACTTTGGCAGTCTATACTGAACTTGTCTAATGTCTCCCTCTCTATGAACTAAACTCTCAACCATGAATGTAAATGTCGGCTGTATTTGTAATTGTATAACTTTATGTTTGTCTATATTTGCCTCACACCTTTTTATTTTGTTCTCTTTTTTTTTCACCTGCAAACTCATTTAATCTTCCTTCCTCCGTCTCCGTCCCACTGGCTGGTTTGCAGACCTAGCTGCAAAATGAGGATGATCACTTTCTTCGTGGTTGGACTAACAGTCCATGTGGTCTTCTTCCTCTCTATCTTTGACATCTACTTCACCTCTCCCCTGGTCCATGGCATGACACCCCAGGCCACACGGCTGACACCCCCTGCCTCCAGACTGGTGTTAGTGGTGGCTGATGGTCTCAGAGCAGACAGTCTCTTCACACTCCTCCCCAACGGCTCATCCAGGGCCCAGTACTTGAGGTTCGGAAACTGGTGGAGAGTAGTGAGCTTCGATGTAATGTGTTTGTGTGTATGTGAATTGGTCCAGTATAGGAAGCAGTATGTATATATGTGCAATTTGTTGGGTTTGTGTGTGTGACCGTTATACTCTGTATTTTCTCATGCTTTGTTCATGACTCTGGAGAAGCTGATGTTTGTGTATACATGTCTGTGTGTGTTTTCCAATATCAGGAGTGTGATAGAGGAAAAAGGTACCTGGGGGGTGTCCCACACACACGTGCCCACTGAATCTCGTCCTGGTCATGTTGCTCTTATCGCTGGCTTCTATGAGGATGTCAGTGCTGTTGCTAAAGGTAGGTGTGCATCTGTGCTTGTCGATACAGGTAATGCTATGTAAAGGATTAAATACTGACACTCATGTGCTTGTGTATGACTACTGTTGTGTCTGTCGGTGACTGCAAGTGCATTGACGTTTTTATGTGTGTGTGTTCAGGGTGGAAGGAGAATCCTGTAGACTTTGACTCCGTGTTTAATGAGAGCAGGCACACCTGGTGCTGGGGCAGCCCTGATATTCTACCTATGTTTGCCAAAGGTACACATTAACACAAACAACACAATCCGAACCACTGACCAAGGCAATATAGAAGCAAAAGGTTGCATATAAAGACTATCAAAAATCCAAAATTTAAGCTTAGTAACAAATTTTTGTAGTTCAATAACATATTTTTTCTATTATTAAATGTTTTATTCCTCATTACTGCTTACATGTTTTGAATATCCTAGAACAACATTTAAAAATTCCTTAAAGAAGCTCATTTTGTGCTGTGGCTCTTCCAGGTGCCAGTGGAGACCATGTGTATATCCACACATACCCAGCAGAGGAGGAGGACTTTGCCTCTACAGATGCCTCCAGGCTGGACAGCTGGGTGTTCACACAAGTCAAAGTATGGTAGTGGAGTTACTAATGATAATTATAAATGCTTTGCTGACTCTGTCGATAAAGTCATAGATTTTTTTTCCCCAGTGAGAATTTGCAAATTGCTATCTTGAATAAATCCAAATATATGTTGTTTTTTTTTCTCTTGGCACTAGTCATTCTTTCAGTCAGCCAAGTCTAACTCCAGTCTGAGGGCCAGTCTCCTCGAGGATGAGAACATCTTCTTCCTGCATCTGCTGGGCATCGACACAAATGGACATGCTCACAGACCAATGTCACAGTAAGATCCATTATTAGTATTATAATTATTATTGATTTCTTGTTGTTTTGCCATTTATATTCAATTTGATTGTACTCAACATATAATGAAATTATCATATACTTTCAAAGCGACATCCACTCACACAGCAGTGCTTTATTTATTTTGTATTTGTCTTTTGTTTAGAGAGTATCTAGACAATATTGGTCTAGTAGACACTGGTGTAGCTGAGCTCGTGTCTATAGTAGAAGAATTCTTTGGTTATGATGGCAGAACCTCCTATGTGTTCACCTCTGACCATGGCATGACAAACTGGGGTAAGACTCTTGTAAGTGTATGTGTGACTTTTTTTCATGCAACAACAACAAAAAGTCAGTTCTTCAACATATGAATTCATATGAGTTTTGTTTTAATATCATCTGTTGATTAGTGTCTCAATTTTTGCTTGTTTGTGTCTCCAGGTTCACACGGTGCAGGCCATCCCTCTGAGACACTCACCCCTTTAGTGGTGTGGGGAGCTGGAGTTCATCGTGCTCGCAAAGTCACTGAACCCCAATCATACAACGATGGATACCTGCAAGGTGCGAAACTCATGTACTGTGCTCACAACCGCATGCCTAAGTGTCTTTCAGGCAGGCTTGTTAGCTTCAGTTTAGTGCTCAGGTTCTCCTACACCCACATAAGGTGGTCATTCTAATGTTATTTATAGGCAGAGTGGAACTTTGTATTTTACTTGGAATAAAAACACAAATGTTCAATTTTTACACTGTACATTGTTGTCCGTAATTATATTTTTACTGTATTTACTGTTTCTCAGATTGGAAACTGGAGCACCTTCGTAGAGTTGACGTGAATCAGGTATGGCCCATGACCATGGCATGTATTAATGATGTCACTATCAATTATAATCACTCAATATAAAATGCATGAAAGCAGTGATATAAAAGAACAACAAACAAATATTTTTATGTTTATTGTTCTCTGCAGGCAGACATCGCTCCCCTCATGGCATCTCTCATTGGTGTACCCATTCCTGTTAACTCTGTTGTAAGTCCAGAGATAAACTACAGACAAAGGAAATATTGTAGTCATTTTTGTCCTACCAAGTTGTATGTAAGCATTATCAAAGTCGCCAAAAATAAGTTTTGAAAGTAGGAGTGTACCTTTGAAAAATCATTCGTGGCTGTGACAATCAGGTATTTAGTAGAAATTATGTGTCCACAGATGTTCATCTTTATGTGTGTTTTTGTCTCCTCAGGGTGTTTTACCGCTTCTCTACCTTAACAACAGTGACCAGTTCAAGGCAGAGAGCATGTACACTAATGCTATGCAAGTACTAGAGCAGTTCAAGGTATGGGAGCATTCAGCTCAGCAGTTACTGACATGCATATCATTAGTATGTTACGAGGGTCAGTAAAACAATCACTTGTCACGACTTTGTTGAATAAGTTAGTAACAATATTATGACTTGAAATGTTAATATGTTGGTATTTATAGATATCTCCAGTAATTTATATTTGATTTATAACAAAAACACTTTAAAATGATAGCTTTAAACAACACACCATTTTTAGGTTTGAAGTTGTCGAAACCCTATTATTGCACGTCTTGTAATACAGTAATTCAGTTTCATAAAACAAGTTTTATGTCTTTCTGTAGATGAAAATGAACCAGAAAAAGGAGACAACCTTGTCTTTTCTCTTCACCCCATACCAGTAAGTACAATTAGTGCGTTAATAAATGTGAAGTGAATTAATATCATGGGTTTTTCATTGCTATGTGTTCAGTTAAAAAAACAACAACAACACATTTTTACCAAGGCATAACGTTATGCTGAATTCATGTCATGTACAAAGTAACAAAGAGCATTAACCTGGTGGCAACTGCTCACATTTTCTGTTACTGGCCTATGCAAAAGATTAAGCAGGGCAATGCATTGTTTATAATATTGTGGTTTGTAGAAATTAAGTGCATTTTATTTGGTCAACATATTCAAGACCCCCATTTATATGCAATTTCACGGACTCTGTCTTCAGTGGTTTGTCTCACTGTTTTCCCAGACTACTGACTGAGTCAAAACAAGCAGAATTCATCCACCAGGCCAGAATACTGATTCAGCTGGAGAAATATGAAGATGCAGTGAGTAGTTGGAAAAATGTAGTCTGCAGCTTATATATGTAAATTGACATTGTACAAGTGAAATAAAGTCAAATTTGTGATTTATTCTGGGTACTTAAATCCACAAACGTGGTGTTCACATTAGCACTAAAGGTACGTTGATGAAGTATGTTGTGGCAGCTGATGTTGCAGTGGTAACTAACATACAGCGTCTCTGCCTTTTTGGGGTTTGAATGATAATTTTCCTTCCAAGTTTCTCATTTCTTTGTTTCTTTACATTCCTTGTTGATTAACCTTCTTTCCACTTTCTCCATGACATGTTTGCTATTGCTAAAGCACTTTCTTTCATTTCCTGTTTGTCTCGTGTCAGATCTCTTTGTGCCAGTCTCTGATATCCCATGCTCTGGAGGGCCTGGTCTACTACCACACCTATGACCGGTTCTTCCTGGGTTGCAGTGTGGTGATGGGATTTGTAGGCTGGACCTCCTATGTTGTCTTAGTCATACTGAAGACTCATGCCAGCCTCAACAGACGTCCCAGTCTCCTGAAACAGGTCAGAGCATATATTATAATCCCCCTTTCTTTGCCTCTAAAGACTCCTTCCACCAAAACAACTTTATGAAATGACTCTTATGTTAAGTTGCATTTGTGTGTGTGTGTGTGTGTGTGTGTGTGCGCGCAGATTCCCGGCCATACCCTGGGAAGGATGTGTATGTGTGCGACACTGATGATCACTGTGTTCTTGCTTATCCAAAGAAGCCCTGTTACGTACTATATTTACTGTCTGCTGCCTGTCCCTGTGTGGTACTCTGTCCTTAAAGAGTGAGTAACACACACATTTGAGAAAATAAAATTGCCTGAAACACACCTGCACACAGACATCACAGTCTCATCAAACAAATGAGCGTAGTTCCTGTATGCTGTTCTCAGAGTGTGCTGGAGCAAACACCACACACAGACACACGATGTCAGCAAATATCACTACACATCAATGGAGATCTCAACAAATAATAAATATAACAGTTTTTCATCGCATGTAATTAACCTCACACAGACTTGTCTATGCACGTCTGGCACAGCTGCAGTAAGGTTTTAATTAGACCATTTGAAGTGGTGTAGTATCCATTGATGTTTCTCCTCTGTAAATGGATAAAAGGGCGGTTTTCTTTCTTTTTCACCCTTTTATCGCAGGGAAAATAATCTCATTAATGTTCCATTTTAGATCTGGAACTCTAACAGATTTGGTTCGCTCAGCTCCTTCTCTGCCACTGTGGAAATGTTTTGGCTATTTTGTGCTGGTGACGTTCGGGATCGAGCTACTGGTAGGTGCCTTTAATGTCTTCTAATGTAAAGTTAGAGGGACATTTTTGCTTCAGTACAATGATACAGCTTGACTTATAAGCCTTGAGCTGACATGCTGACATTATGAGCTCACTGTGTACAATGGATGATAGTTTCCCTTGCTGCCCCCAGGTGGTGAGTTTCTTCCATCGCACCATGCTGACTGTGGGCCTGGCAGTCCTCTCTCTCTGGCCCTTGCTGTCGGGACTTTTTGGCAAGGCCAAGGTAACAGTTTATCGGATCATCACTCCTGCACTCACAGTACACCAGGAAAGGTCATGATATTTGAATACTGGGTGTTCTGCACCTTGCAGGTTTTGGTAAAATGATGTGTCGAGGAAGTTTGGAAAATCCAGGTGGACTTTCCAACCAAGGCAGAGTAAACACAGTAGGAAAATGTCCTGCTCACAGAAGGCTTGACTGATGGATGTTTAGCTACCAAGTGGAAATAGGAATAAGCTAATAGATAGACAAGACATATATTCTATCTATTCTATAACTTTTTTCTTTTATATATATTTTGCTTATTATATAAGTATTCTGATGAATAAACAAACATGTATAGTTTGATCAATGATTAACCCTATTTCGTTCTCCTTAGATTTCCATAACCAAATGTTACTATATGATTTGACATATCACATATTCTATGCTGCATAGAGTCCTTTGTCCTGATAGATTTATCTTTTATTTCTTTGCTCACTACAACGATATAAAGAAAGTGATTATATTAAATATTGGTGCACAAAAATGAATCGAACAAAGTGGTTTGTTGTGGAAGAAGTACACATATTTAACCCTAATTGCGTTTTTTTCCACAAGCAAATCTAGGATGTTTTTGTGTAGTTCTAGCTTGTATTTTGACTTCCCTTTGGACTTCTTTGTCATTAGTCTACTGTCAGATAAATACGTAGCTTGTTAAATTATCATTTCACGTACAGTATTTAACTACATGAACTCTCTGTTCCTGTGCAGTTCCGATCATTGAGCTGGTTTCTAGGCTGTCTGTGTTTGGCTGCTTTCCCCCTGATGCCTGTTGTGGGTAGAGAGCCTAACATACATCTGGTGTGAGTGTTTCCTCTATTTGCTTACATTTATCATAAAGTCAGTGACAAGTAAATTACTATAATTAGGATATCTTAAAGGTCATCTCAGAGTGGTGAAATTTTTTTGCTAGAAATGATTTAGGGAAGAGTACTAATGGTTGAAATAAATATCACAATAGCTTGTTATTACAAATATTTTCCCGCTGTTAATATATGTTTATCAAAATGTGGCAAATGAATGCGTGTTGCACTGTTTTGCAGCACAAAAGACAAAAATGATCACACGTGTAAGTCAGCAACTTCAGTACTTATTTTGTCATCTTTAAATTAAATTAGTGTAGTTCCCCTTTCTAACTAACTAGTCAAAAAGCCTCACAATGCTGTAAACAACCTCAGGATGATGAAAAAAGCCTTGTGAGACAGTTTTGTGAAAGACAGAGACAGAGGATCTCATTCAAATAAACTGCTCATTAACAGCAGTATCTTTACTCAACTGTATATATGTGTGTATAATGTCACTGTGATGGCATCTTGTTATGCATTTATTTTTGTTACTGTCTAATAAATCAAATCAAATAAAAAAAACTCAAGTCAAGAAGTCAGCCGTATGCCATGAACATGTCTATAATAATATGGTAACATATGATGTTTGTTCGCTTAGTACCTGTGCAGGTCTACTCACTCTCTTCACTTCAGCCTGTTACCTCTGGTCATCACGGCAGAGAACAGCACTGCACATTAGTGACCGACAGCAGTTTGTCGCCCAGGTAACAGCTCACGCCACGTGTATTTGTGATTGTGTTTTGTGCCACTGCGTTTTCTAAAGATAAATTATGACCTGTCAAACTCGACAGATGCTTCATGTGGCGGTGTGTGCGTACGTGCCATCCCTCACGCACTCCAGCCTACAGCAGAAACAGGGTCTGCCACTTCTTAATCAAATCATCAGCTGGGCCACATTAGGTAGGTGGATGTGTAAGTGAGCACAAGATACTTGGGAACTGTCTATGTTCAACACCTATAATTTCCTTTGGAGATTATAATAATATGTATGAATCATTGATGTTAATTTTTTAAAATGTTGATCAGATATTTAGGATATGTTGTAAATCTAATTATTTAAGTATAACCCATATCGTTAACTTACTTTAGAAAAATATAGCCACATACCCCCTCCTTCGTACAAACACAACTTCCTGCCATTCACTCACCCACACACAGTATATATATTGTGTGTCAAAGTGCACATACCTGTTAATTAATATTCACGTCTCCTATGTCTTCTCTTTTATCAGCTTCGTCTATGCTGGTTCCATTGCTGAGCTCTACACGCCTTTTCCACCGACTCCTCAGCATATTTCTCTCTCTCACAGCCACATACCTGCTGCTCAGCACTGGGTAAGACAAAATATTACACACACACACACACACACACACTCACCCCATGCAGCTGCACTAACATGTTAAGTTATGTGTAGAGCTTTATCACCACAGCAAAGCTGCAAAATGACACATTTTCTAATGTGTATGTTTTCTCTCACCCAGGTCAGAGGCCTTGTTCCCCCCTGTGTTATCTTGGTTGATGTTTGTGTGGATCAACATTGAACAGGAAGCTATGCACGCTCAGGGTGTCTCTGGCAGACAAGAGGTACAGTCTCTGACAAAAGTCTTGTCGCTTGTGTACAAATTGACCTGAAGTGCTGCTGAAATATATTTCTAATCAAGATTTTTTTTACAAGAAATGGCTCATTTTAATCCCAACAGCTTTTGTAATAATGTTTCAGTGCAAAACGAAACTGTCAAAAAGTATTCTAAGATTCACAGCTTGGTAAAGCCCATTGAGTCAGTTTTTGCAAAGACATAAGTGTTGTCGCCTTGTCATATGAGCTTCACCTGTGACTAATAATGGATCAATTAGGTCTCAGGTGTGTATAAAAACAACCCCAGTACACTAGACCTTCACATCAACAGCAACTAGACCTCTGCAAACATGCCTAAGATTCACCCTGAGACTAAAGTTTTGATTATCAAGAGGCTGAAGACCAGATCCACTGCTGATGTGGCAGACACCTTCAATGTGTCTCAGCCTCAAGTACAGAGGATATTTGATGATACATTTGCCAAGGCCCACAGCCTGCTAAAAGGATGGACGCTGGAAAAGTGGAAGAAGGTGGATTTTTCAGATGAATTTTCTGTTGAATTACACCACAGTCGCCTCAAATGTTGCAGGAGACCTACTGGAGCCCGCATGGATCTGAGATTCACCCAGAAAACAGTGAAGTTAGCTACCTCTTATATTCCCAACCATAAAAGATGCCAAATTCTGCAGCAGGATGGTGCTCCATCGCATACTTCTATCTCCACATCAAAGTTCCTCAAGGCGAAGAAGATCAAGATGCTGCAGGATTGGCCAGCCCAGTCACCAGACATGAACATCATTGAGCATATGTGGGGTAGGATGAAAGAGGAAGCATGGAAGACGAAACCAAAGAATATTGATGGACTCTGGGAGGCATGCAAGACTGCTTTCTTTGCTATTCCTGATGACTTCATCAATAAATTATATGCATCCTTGCCAAACCGCATGGATGCAGTCCTTCAAGCTCATGGAAGTCATACAAGATATTAAATTTGGATCTCACGGCACCACTACTTAATTTGCTGACATATTTTTGTATTTGTAGTAAATTTGTTCAATTTCTGTATAGGCGACAAAACTTTTGTCTTGCCAAAATTTGACCTTTCCGTCTTGTTTAAATGATAAATCTTTTTTCAGTGAAACTAATTTATTTCAGTGCATTAAACATCATTTGGGAGGGTTTTAGCTTTTCATATGAGCTATTTCTAACACCAATTGATTAATTAAAAGTCAGGTTAATAGCAGGTGTTTCTACAAAATAGATAAGCGACAAGACTTTTGTCAGGGACTGTAGAACCATATTTCCAATCTTAGATTCGGTGGAGCAGGGTAGACTGCATGACAAAAAGAGATGCAAATTTGAATAGTCAGAGGTCTGTGTATTTATTGCACTGTGGGCTTGTATCAAATTTCGATCACACATTTTGTTTTTAACGGAAAACAGTCAATATTTGATCTTTTATAGGCATATTTTCACACATTTGTGTACTTTGTTATATAAATATATCTTCTGGAGCC